AGTGTTTTACTTCTATGATTTTCTCTATTTGAATGTTTTACTCCTATGATTTTCTCTATTTGAATGTTTTACTTCTATGATTTTCTGTATTTGAATGTTTTACTTCTATGATTTTCTCTATTTGAATGTTTTACTTCTATGATTTTCTCTATTTTAATGTTTTACTTCTATGATTTTCTCTATTTGAATGTTTTACTTCTATGATTTTCTGTATTTGAATGTTTTACTTCTATGATTCTCTCTATTTGAATGTTTTACTTCTATGATTTTCTCTATTTGGTATAGGGTATAATCCAGTATGTTGATACTATTATGTAAGTACATCTATTAAACGACCTCTATATCTCTCACTGGGTAAATAAAATTAGTTTAAAAATTTACGAACAACCGTCATACAATAGTCACTTTTATTTTTGTTAAACAAGACACATTATCTTCCTGTAATTTATTATAATCAGAAAGACACAATAAATCAGTGCCCCGTGTGTCACTTACTTAATTACACAATTGTTGAAACGTATTGAGTACACGCGTGAAATCAACGTGGAATTCACTAGTTCTGGTTTCTGCCACCAGGAATTCTTGACCAATAATGTATGCTTTTACTTCTTTAATCTTCCAAGCGTTCGCAAATAATATTAATTTTTTATATAAATATAAATTGCAAAAGGATCTTTCAGTATCAATATTTGTATTTCTCTCTTTAAATACATTTGTAACAAGAATGATTATAACGTAATAATAAATAGTTTGTGAACATTTTCTTGTGAACATTTCCATATAAAATATAAACTTCATTTGGGAGAAAACTTACAATTACTAATTTCCAGTAAATTATTTTATGCTATTTCAAATTAAACATTTAGGATATATTTTTTTTTTCAAAAAAAAAATCGAATAACGCTTTGTAAGAATCATTGTAATTTCTTATATCTTTTAGAAAATGGTTATTTTAGAAAATGTTATTAATGTTTGTTTTGAAAGATATTAATGTTTATTTGTTCAATTTCTGATGCCAAACGATGGATAAAATATTTATTATTTATAGAATCAATATTAACTTAATGAAATCGTTTTAACATTTAAAATAGAGGGCGAACCGTAGCAAAATCCCTAATAAAGAAAAATCAAAGAACAAGTAATATAAAAATAACTTTCCTTAATGATACCTAATGTCACCTAATTAAGTTTATATTCAGTTCTTCTGGACGACTTTAACCCATATTTCGCCACCTAGGATCCTAGATTTACTTTACACAAAATTGTTCTTTATATTAAAGGATTAGAGATAATTATTCCATAATTTTTTTTTTCGCAAAAAGGTTTTAATTTATTACCCGCTCCCCCTCGGAATCAGTGGTAAGGTTACGGACTTAAAATGCTAAAATTCAGGATTCGATTTCCCGTGATGGACAGAGCGCAGATAGCTCATTGTATGACATTGCGCTATAAAAATAACAACAAAAAATAGTAATAACAGGTAAAAGATGAAGATGGGTTATATAAAACCAAAAGCAGAAAACAAAGAGTTGATAAACGTACAAAACTCAATCTGTTACTTTATTATTTCTACATAAAACTTTCATTAAGCTCATTAAAAAGTCATACATTTATTTAATTCTACTTTCTTGTGCAGGTAATGATTTTTGTAATAAGTACGATGACAAGAAACGCAAGTATAACTTGAAATGTCATTGCAGCCATTCCTTTCCCACCTTTGAACCAGTTCAGTGGATTTAGTAACTCCAATAAAAGGTCTAAACCTTCGGCGTTCCAAGGATGGTTATCTTCTTCCAATACGTCGACATCTCCGTATGTTCCGTCCTGTCTAAGTACTCCCTCTAGCGGTTCTTTCTTACAACCAATGTACTTGCATAAAGGTGTTTTGACGGATACCGCCCGAAGGCAAAGTTTTGTGTGATTGGCGCAGAAGCCAATTGATTTGTAGACTATAAGATTTTGAGGTTCTGTGAATTTACTATCAATTGAGAAATAAGACTTCTTGCTATGTTCGTGCACCACCCATCCAAGCACGGTGCCTGCAGTTGAACATTAGTTAGTATTATTATGTACTACCTAACATTGTGTATAGTTAGTATTATTATGTACTACCTAACACTGTGTATAGTTAGTATTATTATGTACTACCTAACATCGTGTATAGTTAATATTATTATGTACTACCTAACACTGTGTATAGTTAGTATTATTATGTACTACCTAACACTGTGTATAGTTAGTATTATTATGTACTACCTGAAATTGTGTATGGTTAGTATTACTACGTACTACCTAACATTGTGTATAATTAATATTATTATGTACTACCTAACATTGTGTATAGTTAGTATTATTATGTACTACCTAATAATGGGTGTTAAATATTTAACAGTTTTTTTATAAATCTACGTGGTTTGTTTTATTTTGAACTTAGTACTCGAGGGCTATCTGTGCTAGCTGTCCCTAATTTAGCAGTCATAGACTACAACGAAGGCAGCTAGTCGACATCAGCCACCGCCAATTCTTGGGCTACTCTCTTACCAATGAATAAATGGGATTGACCGTCACATTTTAACGCCTCACACGGTTGAAAGGACGAGCATGTTAGGAGGCGGGATTTTAACCCGCGACCCGCAAATTGCGAGTAGAATGCCTTAACCGCCAAGCTATGCCAGACCCTTACTGTCTAATATACAGGTGAAACTAAAAGAACTGTAAAAAAATGCATGTAACAGATACGTCATTGTTTCTGAAGTATATATTTCAACTGTTGAGTACCTTGTTCCTGAACTTATACTTCATCTGTTGAATACCTTGTTCCTGAAGTATATTTTCAGCTGTTGAATACTTTGTTTCTAAAGTGTGTTCTTTAGCTGTTGAATACCTTGTTTCTGAAGTATATTTTTCAGCTGTTGAATACCTTGTTTCTGAAGTATATTTTTCAGCTGTTGAAAAAATATTTCAAATGTTGTGTTTGTTATAAAGCAGAACCGAAACACGTTTGTACAAAATTGGGTATATTTTTATATATGTATATATATATATTATGACTAAGGACCATAAAATAAAATAAAAAACAGCTGGTGGTATTTCACTAAGATTGTCGTTATTCAATCAGTTACAAAACTAGTAATACCTTGATGTACTATAATCACACATAATCAGAAGATGAGCTGAAACCATACATCAGTGGATGAGCGCTACAATTTGTTCTACCTCACCCCCAAAAGAAGACAACAAAAGAAAACTGATTATTTATCAGAAGAAACCGAAGAACACCACTGACAGCGGTGGAAATAGTCTTATGATCGTATTTCATACAGATTTGCGAAGATTATGAAAATCTGAAAATAAACATGGTGTTCAGTAAAAGTTGGCCAATTAATATAAACTTGGAATATTCGCGTTATCAGCTACTTACCCCTTTTTGCACGCCATTAGACTGTTTGGTGTTTATTTATTTATTTCAACAAGAAAAATAACACTTAAATCAGTTTTCTATTGAATAAACGTTCTATATAGAAACGCTGTCAAATCTGTGTAAACTTAAGAGTAGAAATATAAAAACAAGACTTAGAAATTCAGATCCCATCTATTATTTCTGCAGACTTAGTTTTAAAAACTATCAAATCACTATATTTGAGTCTTATTAAAATCTCTCTGAACTACTTTTTTATAGTTTATTTTCCTAGGTATTATTCCGCGAGTTTTTAAAGTAATGATCATTATGATGGGATACACTGAATTTCAACTATTATCTTGTATCATGGGGTGACAAACCGGTTGCTAAGTAGCAGCTATCTATCGGCCAGTTCGTCTAAATTAAATGCTTATGACAACATTGATTTATATTTGTCCGGAGATGAACCAGAACGATTAAATGGTATCTAATAAAACCTAATCACTAAGTTTGTTGTGTGCCTGTTGATGAGTTGTTGAGACAAAGAGGAAAAGTTCGAGTTTTTTGGTGTTTATTTTTCCATTAAGTTATCAATCCACCGATGACGTTAGTAGCTTAACATGCAATGAAACTTGGATGGGGCAACATTATCTCCACGTATACGTACTAGTGAGGATACAATAGTATTAAAGCAGGTATTTCACGTAAATTATCGTTTAAGCAACTAGCCCCTTGCAAATAATTATTACTAAAAAACGCTGCCGATGAAATTTAATTTCTTGTAACTTACTGACACTCAACTTATCATGTCTGAAAGATACATTACGTTTGTGTTAACTACGTTCATTTTATATGTTATTACGTTTTTGCTTTCATTCAGTGAAAGACCCACGTTTTGTGAAGTAAAGAAGATCTGGAGACTCGGGTGTCTGTTTTTGTCTTATTCTTTTACACACTAAACAGTTGCTTCTAATTTTTTGAAGCGAGTTCACCCACCTTGTTTCTGAAGTATATATTTCAACTGTTGAGTAACATATTTCAACTGTTGAGTACTTCAGAAACAAGGTATTCAACAGTTGAAATATATACTTCAGAAACAAGGTATTCAACAGATGAAGTATAAAGTTCAGGAACAAGGTACTCAACAGTTGAAATATATACTTCAGAAACAAGGTATTCAACAGTTGAAATATATACTTCAGAAACAAGGTATTCAAAAGTTGAAACATATACTTCAGAAACAAGGTATTCAACAGATGAAGTATAAAGTTTAGGAACAAGGTACTCAACAGTTGAAATATATACTTCAGAAACAAGGTACTCAACAGTTGAAATATGTACTTCAGGAACAAGGTATTCAACAGATGAAGTATAAAGTTTAGGAACAAGGTACTCAACAGTTGAAATATATACTTCAGAAACAAGGTACTCAACAGTTGAAATATATACTTCAGAA